CATGAGGGGGAGCCCGAGGATGCATCCAAGGGGTGAAGCTCTCCGCGGGGGCTCGCCGCCGTCGCGGGCAGGCGGGATGCCCCAGCAGCAGTTTGCGCAGGTCGCCGCCACCCGCCGTGCGCGCCTGCTTTTCGCGCGCGCGGTCTCCTCCCATTCATCATCGGCGGCCTGCTTTCTCTTCCACCTCCCCCCCTGCCCCTGTCCCTCCTTTCCCTCCACCTCTCCCTCGTTCCCCCTCCCCCTTTTTCCTCCTCCTCCTCCTCGTTCTCCTTTCTCTTACTCCTCCTCCTTCCTGTCCCTCTTTCTACTTCGCTCCCCCCTCCTGCCTGTCCCTCCTCCCCCTCCCCCTCCGTCCTGTCCCTCCTCCCGCCTCTTACTCCTCCCCCTTGCCCTCTTCTTACTCCTCCTCCTTTCCCGTCTCCCCTCCTCCGCCTGCTCTTTCCCCCTCCCCTTCTTTCTGCCCCCTCTCCTTCTCCTTCTCCCCTCCCTCCTTCCTCCTCCACTTCCCCTCCTCCTCCTCCCTCCTCCTCCCCTTGCCCCTCTTCTACGATTGTCGCGCCCACAAGGGTGCGGGAGTCGCCCGCAAGGCAAGGATTTGACCATCCCTCGCCTTCTCTCTTTCCCTTTACTCTGCTTGCATGCTCGGTTGGTGCTCCCAGGCTGGTCCTTCTCCTTCGGTCGGCGGCACTTGTGCGCCTTGGATTGCATGCGCGGTTGCTGTGCAGGCCATCGGGGCTCCACATCGCTCGAGGCCCGATTCACTTGTGCGCCCTCGGCATCATCTCATTGTCTCCACTTTCTCCTGTTCCCCCTCCTCCGTTCCTCTTCCCTTACACTCCTTTCTGCCTCGTCGCAACGACAAACGTGTCGGTGGGGCGGGCCGGGCGTCTCGCCTGAGTCCTCTCTTGCAATGTGTCGTCTTGAAGCTTGACGTCTCCCATGCTGCACGGGTGGGGAATGGACGAAGTTCAGATATTGGCTCTCGCCTTGGAGCCGTGCGCATTACGCTTTTGTGAGGCGATTATTTTTCAAACTTGGGGGTACTCGTTTTGGACTTTGCGTACATTGTGACGCGAAGCTTTGGCGCGTGTAATGCATGCATGGGCGGAGTGTGGTTTCCTTTCCAAAGTGGGAATGTTGCCTGAGACTTGCTCAAGATGTGTCCAGGTGCCTGTGGCAAGTCCCGCTACCGTGCCAGGCGCTGGGTGGGGAAGCTTCGCACGGAAGGCCGTCACAGGTGACGCCTCTCGTGCCCATCTTTTCGGAGAGCTCGCCGTGGGCTTCTTGGGCCGTCTCGGGCCACTGTAGGACAGTCTTGGGGGTTCTTGTGGTTCTCTTGGGCCGTCCTGGAGCCCCTTTGGCCGTCGGGGGGCTCCATGGGGCTCTCTCGGCCGTCTGGCTCTTCGGGGCCGTGGTAGGGCCGTGTTGGAGCCGTTTTGGGCCATTTTGAGGCCGTCCTGGGTCGTCGGCGGCCCTCTTGGGCCAGCTTGGGGCTCTCTTGGGGCCGTCCTGGGCCGTCTGGGGGCCCCATGGGGTTATAAGTGCTTCCTTTCGGGCCCTCGAAGGCTGCGCGTGGACGGGTATTCGACTCAAGGGCATTTTGGGGATGCCCAGGGGCTTGCGGAGTCCTCTTGGGGTCTATTCGGCGCCTCTTGGGGGCTGTTGGGCGCTTCTTGAGGCAATGTTGGTTCATCAGTCTTGGTTGCCTTTCTTGACTGTCTTGGAAGTCCTGGAGAGGTTTGAGAGCTCCAGACAGGCGAAAGGGCTGCCCAGGAAGCTTGGGGGGGAGGGGGGTCATTAACTCGGGTGGACGTATCGGGAGGAGATGGGCCCGTGAAAGAATGATAAGAACCCCGTCAGACAGCACTTGGTGGCCTAGCACGCCTGAAGTGCCAGGGGCCACGCTGGCGGATGGCCCAAAACATCAGGTCATGCTCACCAGCTCCGCGCGGATTTCTCGGATCTGCTTTGGATCCCCCTGGCGGCGCCTCTGGCGCCGCCCCAGCACAGATCCGAGAAATCCGCGCGGACCGTCGAAAGTTCATGCTTATGCCGTTTATTCATCTTCGAGGTGGGGCGTTCGTCCAGGCTCGACGGGCATATGCCTGGTGACCGCGCAAGCGGAGGCGACGACGACGACGAAGACGACGAAGACGACGACGAAGACGACGAAGACGACGAAGACGAGGACGACGACGACGACCACGGTCGACGCCATGAGAGATGGCAGTGGTCCCGTGATATCAAGACTTGCGCTGCGAGTAAAAGTGCGGAGTCGTGTTTCACGTCTGGTTAGCTCTGCGGTCGTGTCGTCTTCGTGCGGTGGTTGTGCGCGCGATGGTGCGCGCAGGCCACTGGGCGCGGAGGTCCCGTTTGGCAGTGGTTTCAGTCTTTGCGTGCAGCTGGGGCCGAGCAGCTGTAATCAGGGCTAGCGCTTCGGCATTTCGCGCTTCGGGTGAGTTGTGATTGCCCCAGGTCGGGCTTGTCGCGGTGATGCCGAGGACGGCGGGCGCTACGGGCAGGCGCAAAGCAGCAGGGGCCCGAGCTTGAGCCTCTTTTCGCCCCTGGTCGAGACATGCGAGGCCACTGCCCGTGCCACGCCGCCGTCCGCTGGGTTCCCCTCGAAGTCCTGGTCGAGCGCACCCCCCTCCTCCTCCTCCTCCTCCTCCTCCTCCTCCTCCTCCTCCTCCTCCTCCTCCTCCTCCTCCGTGTGTTTTCAGCCAGGACTTCGAGAGGCCCCGTGAGCGACGGACATCTCGTCGTGGGCATCTCTGGACTCCCAGATCCCCGTCTGTCTTGGGGCGCCCTCCTGCTTCCACCTGCGAGTGCTCGTCCCTCCTCCCTCCCTTTCGGGGCGGCGGGCGGGCGCCCGAGCCGGCTTCCAACGCCCTCCCGCCTCGTGCTCCCACCGACTTCTTCCGACCGACGGGTCTGCGGTCTGTGCCGGTCTCCTCCCTCTACCCTCCCCCGCTGGGCAGGGCGAGGGCCCGAGGCCTCCTCGCGGATCGGCCGCCTCGAGAGCGGGGTCCCCGTCCTGCTTCGGCATCCCCGGGGGGCAGCTTGCGTGGAGGGGGGGCAGGGGGAGCACGACTGGAAGAGGAGAGGCGGCAGGAAGGACAGGGATGAGGGCGAGAGAATGGTGGAGGAGTTTCGGCGGCGAGCGAGCCGGGGAAGCAAGAAGGGGCGGGCCTTCGCAGAAGGCTCGGGAGTCCCCCGGCCTGCCGAGAAGTTGCCTAGGCCTTCCCCGACGACACAGGAAGCCTCGCAGAAGGCCGGAGGCCTTCTGAGAAGCCCCGCCGTTTCCTGAGCAGGCCTTCTCCTTCTCACTTCCTCCCCTCGCTCGCCGCCGAGCGGAGGAGTTGCGTGAGGGCAGGAACGGGTCGGGGAGAGATCGTCCCAGGGCTGGGCTGTGCATCCTGTATTCTCTTCTGGGGCCCGAAGGCGTCCCCGAGACTCCGAAGGCGGCGCAGAGCCTCCGTTCTGTGTTCTCACTGCAGACGTGGGAGCTCGCGGCTCGGGGTCGAAGTCGATCCCTGGACCTGTCCAGAACGCAATCGAGAATTTCCAGCACAGTCCAGCCATGGCCAGCCCATGGTACCCCCAGCTTTTCGCTCTATTTTGGAGCCCCTGGGGCCCTCTGGGCCTCGTGAGGGGTGCCCTGGAGGCCGTCTGGGCCACCCCGAGAATCCTGGGGGTACCTTGGGCCAGGGGTGCTTCTAGCAACACCCGACCAGGGTGCCCCAGGAGGCCAAAGGCAGGGCCCAAAAGCGCCGGTCCTCGGACCTCGAGGCGCTGCGCTGGGGCCGCCAGGCCCAGAGGAGTGTCGCCGTGGACACCCAGGCCTGTCCTTAAGTCGGGCGTGTTCCCCTACAGGGGGATTGTCGACGAAAAATAAAACATACCCCTCAAATACCCCCCAAATACCCCAAAGAGGTCCAACAATTATCAAAAATAGTCCCCAGAGTATTTTTGGACTTTTTTTTTGATTGTTTTTGGGGTATCGTTTGTTTTTAGTCGAAAATCCCCCTGTAGGGGGACAGTCCCGACTTAAGCCTGTCCTGGGGTGCCTTCTGGCAAGCATCTCGAGGGGCGTCCGGCATCCTTAAGCCTCGAGCCTCGGCCGTCTGTCCTCGAGCATCGAGCCTCGAGCCCCTGTCCTCGAACCTCGAGCATCCATGCTCGATCCTTGGGCTTCGAATCCCGGCCCTCGAGCCTCGAACCCCTGTCCTCAAGCCTCGAACCTCAAGCATCGATCCTAGATCCTCGAACCTCGGTCTTCGATCCTTGCACCTCGGATCTCGGCCCTAGAAGTTCGATCCTCGATCCTTGGACCTCGTCGATCCTCGATCCTCGAACCTCGTTCCTCCATCCTCGAGCTTCGGACCTCGAATCTCGGCCCTCGATCCTTGAACGTCGATCCTCTAACCTTGATCCTCGATCCTCGACCCATTGCAAGAGGAGGGCCCCCCCAGAGGGGGGAGGATGCCGAGCGCCTGCAAGTCGAGTTGCAGCCCGACAGCGAGTTGCCCAGCATCCTGGCGGTCAATTCATGTACATTCTCTTCCTCCCTCCTCTCTCTCCCGCACTCCTCCCTTCCTCATCCTCGTATCCTCCTCGTCCCTCGCCCCCCCCTCCCAGGCCTCTCCTGGAGCCCCGATCCCAGGCCCGAGCCCAAGCTCGGAGCCCGAACGCGAGCCCGAGCCCGAACGCAGGCACGAGCCCGAATCCGAGCCCGAGCTCCAGCCCGAGCCTGAGACCGAGCCCGGGCCCGAGCCGTAGCCCGAGCCCGAATCGCGTGCCCAAGCCCGAGCCCGAGCCCGAGCTCGAGGTCGAGCCCGAACCCGAGCCCGAACCCCAGCCCAAGCGAGAGCGGAAGCCAGAGCTGGAGCCCGAGCCTGAGCCCGAGCCCGAGCCGAAGCCCGAGCCCGAACCCCTCCGCGTGCCCCGAGGCCCCGCAGCAACAGCAGCCGCAGCTGATGCGGTGCGGCCGCTGCCAGCAGGCCCGCGTGGCGCGCCCGCCACACCGCGCCCGCCGCGGGGGGAGGCGCCGCGCCGCAACCCCCAGCCGCCAGCGGGCGAGGGCACCTCCCCAGCGCCCTCGTTGCGCTCTGGGCTGTCCTGTCCTCCACATGCTGCTGCTGCTTCTCCTCCTCCTCCTCCTCTTTCCTCCTCGCTCCTCCATCCTCCTCTTCCATCCTCTATGCTCCATCTTCCCTCCTCCCTCCCTTCCACCGTCCTCCGCCTCCTCCTCCTCCTCCTCTTCCTCCTCCTCCTTCGTCTCCTCCTCCGCCTCCTCCTCCGCCTCCTCCTCCTCCTCCAGCCGTTCTGGCACACAGGTGTGTTTGATACTGCGAACTTCAGAACGGCATTGCAGTATCGGGTCAGGTGGCTCGTTTCTGACCGCTCCACAGAGTTTCCCTCTGCCATGTCCAATGGCTCCTGGCAGTCGCGTGGGCAAGGCAACGGTGCCTGGCAGCCTACCCCGCCCTGGCGCGGCCCGACCCAGTGGGGCAGCCGCGAGGGCAGGGGGCAGGGGGCTGCGTGGGCAGGCCAGTGGAGCGGCAGGCGCTGGCGGTGCAGCCAGTGCAACTGCAACAAGAACATCGACTCGTGGGCTTTCTGCAAGCATTGCGGCGCAGAGAGGCATGACCCAGCTCAGTGGCCAGACCTTCCGCGCCTTCCTGGGCCTCAGGTTCCTCCTGGTGGTGGGGCTGGTGGCAACGGGTTCAACGGCAGTGTCGGAAGCGTCTCCCTCTCGGCCGACGAGGTGCGCCAGCTCATCTCACTCTGCGAGAAAGGAGGTGATATGGCAGCCGCTAACAAGCACAAGCAGGCCCTGGACAAGCTCACGAAGTCAGCACAGCCCGTTCCTGTACAACAGCGGGCCGCAAAAGCTCATAGTAACGTTCAATACTGGGAAAGGAAGCTTTCAGTCGAATTGGACCGCCTCGGCAAGCTGGAAGATCAGCTCAGTGTGCAACGGGACGCTGCTGCTGCTGCACGTGCCGGGCTACAGGACGCCGACGAAAAATTCAAGGAGCTTGTCAGGGAGTTGGCTGGTGGCATGGTCAGCACCGAAGACTGTTCAAAGGGTGTCGTCGGCAAGGTCGATGTATCCGAGCTCATGGACGGTAAGTGCACCGTGTTCGACCTGGTCAGCCTCGACTCGATTTTCAAATCCGACGAGAGTGAGTATACTATTGCCAAGGAAGATAAGGATGAGATGGAGACACGCCGCCAGACGCTCAACGCCCAGTTCCGCGAAGCCTCATCCATGTTCGCTGACGCCCTCACGAAGGCCAACAACATTCTTGAGGAGCAGGCCAAGCACGTGGCTAGGTTGGGCAAGAAGCGGCGGGCCGACGAGGATGGAGGCACGCTTCCTGGGGCAGCTCAGCCGACGGCTGCGGCAGGAGCAGCACCGAGGACACCGCCTGCCGCTCCAGCTTCACGTGAGCCACAGGCGGAGTCTGTGGCGGCTGCTGGGGAAGGCAGCGACAGCGACGCTTCAGCAGCCTCTTCAGTGCGTGAGCGCGCGGCTGCGGCTCTTGACAAGCCTCAGCAAGCCTCTCCCCCTGCCGTGCGCGCCCCATAAGGACGGCAGGGGGAAACGGCTCCATGAAAAAACTTTTTGTAAGCTCGAGCCAGTGGATCGCCTCGCTCGGACCATCTCAAAACTGGATACGTTTCTCTGGTTTCTTTTGTCTCCTGCCGACAGTGGCCCAGCGGCCACGGGTAGTCTCGGGAATGATTTTGGAAGGCGTGACACGCTGTCTGTGCAGCCTTTAGCATATCCGCTGACGAGCCTTTCGGCGGGCATCTCCGCCCCCCACGTTAAATTTAGTCTTGCCGACGTGGGGTGTGGTCTCTCTCAGCCCCTGTCAGGGGGGTCTGACAGTTTTGACTTCTTTGGGACCCCCCAGGCCCCTGGTAAGGATGCCATTGCTCTGCAGGTTTGTAGTTGAAATTGTACGGCGTGGTCATCAGCCAAAGAGTGGCTGCCGACCACGTCGGCTCACGTAGTTTTGTTACAGGAGCATCGCCTTAGAGAATACCAGATTGCTGAGGCCCAGAGTTGGTTGCTCAAGAACGGGTGGAAGGGCCTCTTCGAACCAGCTAAGGTGACTCGTGAAGATACGGGCGTGTACACCTCAGGCGGGGTGGCGGTTCTGGTCAGGAGCTATCTTGGATTGCACGAGCCAGTCGGAGGTACTAAGGTATGCCAGCACCGTGCAATGGCAGCGTGGACTCATGTAGGCAAGGGGGATCCCATCCTGCTGATCAGTTGCTACTTGCACTGTGTTGAAGAGCTCAGCGATGCGAATCTTGACATTCTCGCTGAGATAGGCTCCACGGTCAGCTCGTGCATGTCTTCGTATATTATCGGAGGGGACTTCAACATGGACCCCGCGGTCTTAGGCAAGTGCCAGTACGTTGAGTCCCTGGAGGCCCAGTTGGTGAGCACGGAGTCTGGGACGTGTCTTTCTTCTGCGGGAGTTCGTGTCCTGGGCTATTTCCTGGTTTCTAGTGGGCTCGCCAAGGGTATCTGCTCGATCCAGGTAAATCGTAATGTTAACATCTCACCGCATTATCCTGTGGAAATGACCTTTTTCGAGCAGTTGGGGGACCTGAAGGTGTTATCGTTTCGGAAACCTCCCCCTCTTCCGGTCGAACCACCTATTGGTCCTGCCCCTGCCCCCCGTGACTGGAGCCAAGTTCTCAAACTTGCTGAGGGAGTTTGTGATTGTGCTCAGCGTGGGTCTCGCGAGGCATTTGAGGGGCTCGACGCGTTGTACAAGTCTTGGGCTAATGCGGCTGAGTTGGAGTTGCAAGGGGCCCTTCAGACCAAGTTGCCTAAGAATGGTTGTCGGGGAGAATCTCCACAAGTCTGGTGGGTTGACATCAGGAAAAGAGACAAACGTCCAGGTCGACACCCCCGCGTTGTTCTGTGTCCGCTGGCTTTGTCAGAATTATCGGCTCTGGTGGATTCATGTACGTGCTGGAGAGCCCGACAAGCCAGCCAGATTTCACGCAAAAGCAGCCATCTGTTCCCCTTCGAGTTTCATTCTGGACAACTTCGCCAAGAGTGATTCCAGCCAGTTGTATGCAGATGTATGTGAGTTTATAGCGAAGGACGGCCAGTCTTTCGATGATTGCTACGCCATCTCGACGCGCCTCGCAGACGCGCTGAAGATGGCCTCGCTCGCTGCCAAGAACGATGCTGACCGTGCCTGGAATGAGTGGCTTCTGAAGGACATCGACCAAGGGGCTCGCGCGGCCCACGCTTGGTCGAAGCCAGTCGAAGCCTGGGCTCCGTCCTCGACGCTGTCAGCATCGGGTCAGGTGCTATCAGACCCATTGTCGTTACTCAAGGCTGAAGGGCTCAGGTTCAAAGGCCTGTGGCTGGCTACTGAAGGAGCCGAATCCATCGACTACAACCAGTGCCAGGATTTCCAGCCTATGCCTGCCTTGCCAAGAGTTTCTGTTGACACTATTCGTTTGGCAAGCCGCTCATGCAATAGTCGATCTGCAGTCAGTCTTGATGGTTTTCACATGAGGCACTTTCGGCTTCTTTGCAACGGATCGCTCGAAGTCCTAGCCTACATCTTCGGTATCATTGAGATGATGTCGACTCTTCCCATCCAGATTCGTTTCGTGATGCTGGCTATGCTTCCAAAGCCGATGGGCGGCCTGCGCCCGATCGGGATCTTCACGTCCACTTACCGCTTGTGGGGGAAGATCAGGAGGGAGGTTGCAGTGGAATGGGAGGAGGCTCACTCGGCAAGTTTTTTCTCAGGTAGTGGGTTTAAGAGTGCCACGGATGTTGTCTGGCGCCAAGCTGCTCGTGCAGAAGGGTCCGCACGAACATGGGGATATGCTGCGACAGTCTTATGGGACATGTATAAGTTTTAAGAGTTGATGGACCTTGGGGATCTTGAGGCTCGGTGTCTTAAATTGGGTTTCTCGCGCGCAGTCATCAAGGTTTCGCTGGCTGCTTACAAATCGGCTCGTTTCATTAACATCGCTGGGTTCCTGGCTGGGCCTTTCCTGGCATTCAGGGGTGTTATTGCAGGCTGCAGTCTAGCTACAACTTATGTGCGTATCTTCTACATGGATACGTTTTTGCAGGTCTCTGTGGGGCCCACCACTAGCATCGACCTCTTCATAGATGACATAGGTATTTCTAGTACTGGCGCTTTCAAGCAGGTCTTGGCTGATTTGAAGTCGGCTACGGCAGCTGTTTATGTGGCGGTCACGGAGGATTTGAAGTCTGTTATCTCCCCCGACAAGGCCAACCTTGTTGCCAGTGACGCCACTCTCGGCAAGTTGTTGGCCGAGTGGCTTGGGGCCTTGTCGGGGCCCAGCGCGAACCACTCTACTGCTGTCAACTTGGGGATTGATGACGCGGCTGGGAAAGGTAGCAGGGTGCGAGGGAGGGCGGTTAAGCGGAAGCAGAGAGAGAGAGAGAGAGAGAGAGAGAGAGAGAGAGAGAGAGAGAGAGAGAGAGAGAGACTGAGAGAGAGAGAGAGAGAGAGATATAGGTTTTCGGAGGAAGGTGGAGCGCATCAAGAGACAGAGGCATATCCTTGGCCGATCTGCGCGGCAGATTTTCTGTAGTGGGCCACTGCCAGGGATGTGCTACGGAGCTGAAGTGCACGGTCTGAGTAACACCGAGTTAGGTTGTATCAGGCAGCAGGCTGGCAAGTGTCTACGGCCGTCTTGTGGCGGACGATCTTTGTCTGCTGCACTTGTGTTTGAGGATGAGCCTTGCTGGTATGGGATGGTTGCGCCGATCGTGAGGTGGAGCAAGGAGGTCTGGGCAGCGCAGACAAGGGCCTTTCCATTCTGTTTTCGCATGCCAGAGCTGCGCCGTCTTTGGTCTGCTGTGTTCGAGTCCGCCACCCTTCCCATCACATGGAGACACGTTCACGGACCCATCAGTGCGTTGTACATGTCTGTAAAGAGGATAGGGTGGCGAACGCGGGACTTCGCCGCGCTG